CCATTTCTTACTTATTTAAATCTGATATTTTTGGTTTTGATTTTTTTTTTCATTATACCTATCCATTAAAAACTATACTGCCATGTTGATAGAATGAGATGCGCGTCTACCCACGTAACTTGCCTTGCCACAGTATATAGACAGTTATGAATAGTGAATTTATAAATAAAAAAAAATATAAAAAATGTTCTACGGTACCGTCTGATAATAGTGGAACTATTTTCAACAATCTCCTTGGGCGTAAGGTTGAAAATGGTTCATTGCTAATAAATTGTTGGATTTTAACATTAATAATAGACGCTAGTATTTTTTCTTAATTCATTTTTCAGTTTTACACTTGAATAGTGTTCAGAATCTATGTTTTAAGTTGTAACTAAATTCGCCGTACCCTGTATATGAGATCGAAATTGTCTTTTGAACGCCACACAGATAAATTAATAAACACAAAAATAAGATAAAATACATAAATAGAATACTAAAATTGACCATTAGCTAAATTACACGTAAAAATCTGTAAGGGGTCTTACATGATACCCAGGGGCCTAGCATGCCTGGTCGGCTGACGACAGCATCGCGGGCTCCGGCTTTATGGAGAAGTAAAAACGGGGTGGTTTTTAGTCAGTAAGAGTCTGACACTCTTTCGCCTCACCCGGGCGGGAGAAATCATTGTATGATTTTTTCCCCTCAAAATGAGGTTTTACGTGATCTATCTACCACATAACATCGGGTATTCTTCTGAGGGTGGTAAAAGAGGCGCTTAATCTTACAAATCACGAACTTACTTATGTCGTAAGTAATGGCCGATTATCAAACCCTGTAATCTGAAAATGCTTTAAATTGAAAAGAAATAAGGATATAGATGATATAATTTCGCTAGATAGCTAATTTAGGGTAAGTACGATACCTATTAATATTGTATTCAAAAGTTTCAGAGTAAAAATATGGCAAAGTTCTTATCTTTTCGCAGGTTCTCTGGAGGTATGTTTACTTGCTTATAATTTGTTTATGTGGACCTCTATCTACCTTGGATATAAAAAGGCAAGGTATTACTGACGTTATGAATTTCAAAATGACATCTGTTACATATCTTTTAATTGTGGGCAAAATTCAGTTCTTATTTATATCTTTCCACAAAAATATATAGGTAAATGCAGTATTTTTGCTCTGAAAATAATGTACTAAAAACTACTATTACTTGTGATGTAAAAACACCAATATGAGGCGTTCAAAAGATTTGTAAAAATATGTATTATTATAAAAGTTATGTCGTATTTAATTTGTGGATGGATAATATTTTGAAAAATCTATCAAAGTAGGGATAATTTTTGAGATATTTATAAATTGCAACTGTCACTTTCACAAAGCGCGGGAAACGGAAGCTTTTTATAAAAAAACTAGTTGAAAGGATAGTTTCTCGAGCCCCTTTAAAGTTCATAATGAAGTTGACTTGTTAAAATATTATCCATTATTTTAAAAAGGGAATATTTTATATACCTAATTATGTTAGTTAAGCAGCTAGCGAAATAGACTACAAAGTATGTGAAAATGTGGATTGTTCGAACCGTATGCAGAACAGTTAAGCTTTGTGCTGTCAAAGTTATCTAGAAGAAAAAAAGGAAAAAGAATAGGGTGACCAAAATGTCGAAAAAGGGATGACACATTATAACTTTAGGCAAGATAAAAAAAATGCGATTTAAAAAAAGCTGCTAATAACGAAACAAAATTGCTTTTAATGCCTTGCTGATACAGTCCAGTTTTCAAACATTTCTTGATTTGTTCTCGATTTTTTATTATTTGACATTTATTTTGAATGATTTGGAATTGTATTGAGGATTTTTTATATTATGGACAATTATATCAGTTCTGTGAGTCTCCGACTTAAAGAACTTTTTACTATTAACATCGCAATTGAAACTTACACAATTCAACTTACTTGGAAATATTTGGTTTGTTGTTCAAATTATCTAAATTTTAATAATGCTATTTGTGTATAGCTTGTTTTTTATTAAATTAGTTTTATTTATTATTTTTGTTTATGTTTCGTTGTGTAACCGATTAATAGTAGGGATGTTGACAACTATTCAGATTAAATTATATTTGTTACGGTCAATCAACTCTACTTTCATAAAATTTTTAAAAGATGTGTACGATCGGAGATGTCCCCATTTTAGTAAGTCAATCTGATCCAATCTGTCAGGTTTTTTAATTAAATTTTGAACTTCATCTTTAAATATTAAAATTCGATTAAAAGTCGATTAAAGGAATTTGACTAAAAAGGATTTCGATCTTCTGCCCAATATGTCATCAACAGTTCTTGTCAATTTTGAAAATAGGTACTCTTTAGATTTCGTTTGTGTGCCTCTTTATTAAGTTGAGATTTAGAAATAGATGTAGGTTTGATTTAATTTTTTTTCTGTCTTTTTTGTGTTATGTTAAGTTTCCTACATTTTAGTATTAAACTCTTGAAATGTAAATTACCATTTCTTTTCCCATGTACTCTGGTCCCGAGTTTTGAATCGTTATTATATTATATAATTTAATCATTTAATTACTTTTTCAAAAATAAGTTAAGCAAGAAGTATAAAAATAATAGAAAATGGTCATAAAATAATCTCAGTTTCCGTTTGATTTTGTAAAATTCGAGATAACTTTGACAAAACAAGAGACAGAGTCCAGGTTACAAGTATAGTACAGAGATGTTTCTCAGGAAAAACATAAAATTAGAGCAAAAAGCGCGGAAAATGTGTTGTAAATGTCAATGTATAGATTTTTTCATTTTTTTTTATTATAACTATAAGGGCAGTGCCGTGTGAAGCTATAGATAATAAATATCGATCGTAAAGCTGTCAAGTCGAGTAAATATGTGTTTTGATATTATAGCTATATAGCAATCAATGTTTGTGACTACTTATTAGTTAGACATAGCTTGCAGGCTGTGAAAAGTACTTATTGATTTAAAGTCTCATATTAACAAAAGAGTTTTTGTTTAGATAATCCTATAGTGAGTATTGTTATAGGTTAATAAGAAACTTAAAACAGAGAGCTTCCAATATGTATTTATAGTTTCTAGGAGCAATTGAAGATCACTAAATATTAGTTTAAATATCTTCCACTTCTCTTCCAGTAGATTAGATTATAAATTACGCAATATGTCACAAAGCAATATTATTTGTGTAGTTAAAACTTTCAGTACAAATCGCTGCTTATTTTTAAACAGCCGTGAAATCGAGATATTCTAAATCTAGTATTAATATTTTTTTAACTATAGGCCAATAATGTACACAAGTGAAAAAAAGGTTTAAAAAATATGCGTTTTTGTGACACGGACTACTAAATTCAAAAGGTATCTTTGGTTTTGTATCGATGTTCTAAGACGGGCAGAGTTTACCAATTAAATTTACACGTCCTCGCGCGGATTGCCAGAGTTCTGGTACTAAGTGTAAACATACGACGCTGAATGAAACTTAATTAGAAAAACAAAAAGCGCTGGATTGATAATAAACGAAAATTATCAGTCGATAAGTCCTGTTAGGCTATTCTGTAAGAGTTGAATGCGACCTCTCGAAGTGAGCTCGATAGCATTCTCGCCCGTCATTGGTCGAGATTATTTTTACAACCAATGACATGGCTGGCCGTAATCGAGCTCACATCGCGACTTCGAATTGACATCTTACACGATAGCTTAGGTAATAATCTTGTTTATAAATACATTTTCAACCCTATAATTTTATAGTTAACTTGAAAACCACTCGATAACATTTCTCACTTAGCGACTGATATTTGTGGTTATAGAGATTTCCGGGCTTGGTCCAGCTTTATTGTAGTAACATTTATAAATATGTAGATACAGATCAGATATTTATAGAAGTATCTTATCAAAATATGCTTTATGTATAATAATATTACAATATTTCTACCACACTATAAATGTAAATTATTTTAGCAGCAAATAAACTTAAAGAATAGATCAAATTCTAGTTTTGTACACCAGAAAGATCAAAATACATTTTTGCTCGACTTTCATGGTACCATATCTATCCATGACGCTAAAAGTGCGTAAGTTGAATATAAAGAATATAAAAATAGACTGCTTTATTAATTTTAACATAGTACATTCGACTGCACATATACCTTTGAGTATGTAAGTGGTATTATAGATTTATTTCGTAGTTATCAAAGTTTGGGCATATGACAGTCTTACTTAGGCAGTTGTGTGCAGTCGTGTGCACTCGTATTTAGTTGGTAAAAGAAAAAATATTGTGAATTAAATTGTAAATAATGAAAATTTCTTTATGATATAAATAAATAAATGTCTATTGTACGTTGTTTGTTTATTTAAACTTGTTGTTTCTTTGTTTTACTGGGAGTTGAGTGGTTGTTGAGTAAATGCTTTTGGGTTCGATCCCCAGGTTATTTTTTTTATATTAGATGGGACTGACGTTTGATTTGACCACTATCTCACCTGGTGGTAAGCAATGATGTGGTCCACTATCTCACCGCGTCGACCCATAAGCAACCTTTTACTCGGGCCTTGAAGACACCCAGGTCTATACCCTTCAGGAAATACAGACTCTGGCAAAGAATCCACTCGTAAGTAGTATGCAAAGGTTAATATTATTATAGTAAGAAAAACTGGTGAGTTCTACTGGTCAACAGTACCTAGTGATCTAAAAGTTCGTCTATCACAATTTCCCCTAAAACTATTCACTTTTTTAAATGGAATACATTATCACCTGGTAAGTATTCTGCAAACATGTAATGATTTAAGATCCAACACATGTAATAATAAGAACTGCACAAAGACCGCTCCAGTCTTATATAATTATGAAGACTGTTAAAAATAATAAAACTATCCAAAAAATAATAAAAAATATTGTCACCATACTAAAGAACGAGATAGAAAGCTTTTTTGAACAAATGAATGAATATTTTGTTGACAACTGTCAATCACAACATTGCTAGCGTCGTATCGCGTTCCATTAATAATTTTAACATTCTTAACAGTTACATACTCTTCCTTGCTCTAATACCGTTAGAAAGAAAGAGACAAAACACAAGAATTACCATTGGGCCATGGAACGCACGTAATTTATTGATTTTGAGGTTATTTCCGTACGCATAAAATAATTTTACGTTTATCTTGTGAAATTATGTTATTTTCATGTTTGTGAGTGTTAAATTAAGTTCCAGTTTATTGTTTTATTTTAAATTGAGTTTATAATGTCTGATGTTGAAGAACCACCGACGAAGATGTCGAAATTTGAAGAGGAAGAAGTAAGTTTGAGTGTTATATTTAGTTTACTTTTTAATTTACAATCAAATTAATAATTCGGCTACCGGTATCTTCTAAAATGGTCTTTGTACGATTATTACATCAATATGAATATTTGAAACCTATTTATTTGTAAGCTATTTGTCAAAACAGCTTTTGAAAATGGTCGATTGTAAGAATATGGATATTGTAAATGTATAACTGCTGTTTGCTTTATTTTATGACATAACATCATGCTTTTACATCCTGTGGGACTAAATAGTGCTGTTTATAATTCAATTATCCGTATAAATAGTACAAAACTTGTAGAACACAGGTATTTCTATATAATATCAAAGTTGTTGAGATTGACGCATTCTATTGTAATAAATAACACATGCGGGCAGATAAAAGATTCAGAATTATCAGCAGAGCAATACTACCCGATCTTCCTATCTGGGTATATGATACCCGCGGGAAGAGTAGGGTGGTGACACATGTATTCTATTCTACAATGATCAGTAATATCATTATTGTATTTGATTGCAGTATTTAGAGCCAGAGGGAGAAGAGGCTTTGGAAGAGGGCTTGGAAGAGGGTCAGGAGGAGTGGCTGAGTGAGGGAGTGCTCACTGATGATGACTATGTTCACACCGTAAGTTTAATGTGTTCTTTTTTTAAATTTGATGGCCCGAAATTTGACCACTATCTCGCCTGGTTGTTAAGCGATGATGTGGTCTACGATATCATAAGCAACCTATTCACTCGGGACTTGAAGACAACATAACATCACGTCTACTATCCATGAAGAGGCAAGTAGGCAGAGGTGCGCATTACGGCACTTAATGCCACTGTACAATGTAACATCCACTTTTCACTATTAAACTGTCAAACACCAAGCGTTCACCGGTGACCGCAACCTATTGTTCTATAATTGTGTCTATAATGACGGTACTCGACGAGTTAATGTTATGAGACTATTGCCATATACAAGGCACAATTCCAGAATTTATTTTAAAAAAAAACCCAGTATTATTTTGCCCTACATGGAAATTGACCTCGAGACCCCTTGCCTGGCATTCGCACTTGCGACCACTCGGCCAACGAGGCAGTCATGTGCTCTAATTAATGTTTTCAACTAATAACTGTAATAACTATTACATATTTTTTATTTTTTAGACTGAACAAGACCAAGAGAAAGCCGATATTTCAATGGAAAATACCCAAGAAACTTTAGAAGAACATGATACCTTAGTGACTATGGATGGAATGGTAACAAACGTGGTTACCATGGCAACCACACAAGAGCAGAAAGCCAGCAATTTGACTGGAAACATAGAGGAACAGCTGAACAATTTGGAGAGCTCGCGGAATGGAGACGATTTGAACGATGAGTTGGATACTTTTTTGATCAGGTATTCATATTTTTTTTTCAATTAAATTAATGTCATTTATTTATTTACTAGCTACTTCCGCACGGTTTCACACACTCTGCTCAACTCCTATTGGTCGTAGCGTGATATTTTATAGCCTATAGCCTTCCTCAATAAATGCGCTATCCAACACAAAAATAATTATTCAAATCAGACTTGTAGTTACGGAGATTAGCGCGTTCAAACAAACAAACATACAAAAAAACAAACTCTTTCGCTTTATATAATAGTATAAGATTTATTAAAGGTACATAACATAACGCCTTTTATCCCCGAAGGGGTAAGCAGAAGTGCACATTACGGCATTTAATGCCGCTGTACAATGTAACACCCATTTTTCGCTATTTATGTTATAAGTCCCATGTAATAGGGGGTGAGCCTATTGCCATATACCACATTTTCAGACTCCGTGCTACTACTGAAATTTTTTTTAAAAACCCAGTTGTACATTGCCCGACCCCCGGGTCGATCTATCGAACTCGAGACCCCTTGCCGGCAGTCGCACTTGCGACCACTCGGCCAACGAGGCAATTCAGTAACCGCAACTTTTATGTTTGTCCACAGAAAAAATGATGGCGTATTAAAAGAATATAAAGTGAATAAAGAAGAAGCTAATATGAGCGTGGACAAAGAGCAAGAGGATGACGGCAATGACACGGATGACTTACTTGTAAGTTAACATACATTCATTCATACATACATACAATGAGCCTAATCATTCAGTATGTCGCGGAGAACCTAACGGGTAACCGGGGCTCCGGCTCGACGTGCAGGAGAAGGAACGGGGTGGTTTTTAGTCAGTAAGAGTCTGACACTCCCTCCCGCCTCACCCAGGCGGGAGCAGTCATCCGATGATTTTCATAAAAATAATACTAAATATGATGAATGTGACGCAAATCAATAATATTAACTCAGTAATACTTAAATTTTTAGGAACTTAATAAAATATTCCTATGTATTAGGTACTCCAGGTTATATATAACCAACCCCTGTTCCAAATTTTGTCCCAGTCTGTTTAGCCGATATGATTGGATGATATTCCCTCCTTAAAAAAATCCTTCAGTATGCGGGTACAAAGATTGTTTCAGTACAGTCGCTATTATTATAATGCACGGTTGGTGCGGTGGCTAGACAATCGGCTGGCGTGTCGCGGATTCGATTCCCACACGGAACAACACTTTGTGTGATCTACAGATTGTGCGATCTGGGTGTCATGTGTATGTGAAATTGTATGTTTGTAAACGCACCCACGACACAGGAGACGATACTAGCGTGGGGTATCGTGTTAAACAAACAGTGTACTCTGTAGTACTAACTTGTATGCTATGTAACGAAGCCATATCTTTTGTAGCCATTGGTCGGCTCTAGACAACCAATGGCTACTGTCTCTGTACTGAAACAATCTATATTTTGCTACTTACATATTATGACAGCTTTGTTGGCTTATACCTACATATGTACATACGCTACGGTTTAACCCGGTCTGCTCAGCTCTTATTTATTTATTTAGACTTAGTACAAAAACATATTTATCTATTATATTTATTTCATATTTATATGTGGAGGTCTCTCTTTCTCGGGTCATATTTTTTTATACGCAGTCAAACCATTGCAACGGTTTTGTGGGGTTTAGATTATAAAATACTTACTTTTGTGATATAAAGATAAATAAATAAATAATAAATTAATATATTTATACACCGTGATATTTTAATGGTTGTTTTCCCACAGTAAAATGATTCTATTTTAGTAGTACAATAGATTGAGAAAGTTGTTTTTAATTTAAATAAAAAAATAGCAGTTTTACGATAGTGATACACGAAACTTGAAAGAAACCGCGAACCAATAGTACCGCCGCGACCGGCCACCGGCCGCTGTTATTGTCGCTCGCGCTTATCAAAAGGCTGATAACTCAGTATTTACTAACAAGTGATTTCCATTTTCCCTTCATACTTTAACGGGCTTAGGGCCGTCGTAAATACTTTTTAACTACACTTACTAAACACAAACATAAAACAAAATTTAATTAAGAGATATTATCTTGTTTATTACTGAATTTGGGAAAGTATTTATGGCGTATTTAAAAAATGGGAATCAACGTATTTACAATGATTTTAATCACCTATCTTATTGTTTTATTTACAAATGTACAAGTACTTACACTTCCCGGTAACGGAGCAATTGTTCAAAGTGTAAGCCACCGCGTTCCACACACAATCGTGCACGTTTTAACTGATTGGCTTTCAATTTTAATAATGTGTCTCTGTCACGTCTAATCACATCAAAAGCGTCCACTATCGCACTTTTTAACGCGTCGCGAGTTTCGTACTCTTGCCGATACACAAGGCGTTTGAGATTAGACCACAAATAAAAGTCTAGTGGAGTAAGATCCGGGCTTCGTGGTGGCCATGGCACTGGCCCGCCACGACCGATCCAACGCTGGGGAAACACCGAGTCGAGGTGCTCTCGCACGGCGCGCTGATAATGCGCAGGGCAACCATCGTGCTGGTAATACAGGCCATCCATGAGCACTGCTAACGGAATGTCATCTAGTAAGTCCGGGATAACACTACGTTGTAGGTACGTTTCACAGATTAAGTGTCCTGTCACAAAATGCGGACCAATTAAGCAGCCGTTTATTATACCGGCCCACACGTTTACACTAAACCGCACTTGATGCGCACATTCCCGAATAACGTGTGGGTTATTAAAAGCCCAAAAATCATAATTCGCCCTCGCGTACAATTGCACCATAGCTACGTAATCCACATTAGAAAAAACGTAATGGCGATCCATTTTGGCGGCAATAATATTGTACTGCGCTTGCGTGGTTGCGCGGACGGCGTTCGCGGTGCGACTGGTGTGAATGAAAGCGGTGCGAGGCGATGCGGGCCGATGCGAGTGACAGAGAGCGCGGTGGTGGCCACCCCTTTGTTGTTTGTCGTGAGGCGATCCGCTCGCGCGCGCGTGCATTGCAGTTTATGCTGTATTACTTAGTACGAGAGATTATTTTACTATGAACATTAATTTGACGTCACATTTTAGAAGAGAAACTATCGTTTCTCATGCTTTCGAGTTGATGATTATTTTTTTGAGTATATGAGGAGAAAAAAATTAATTTTTCAAAAAGTAACTTGCATTATTCGATAGTACTACTAAAGGGAAATCGTTCTGCTGCGGGAAAACAACCATCAATATGTCAGCGTGTATATAATATATATATACACACTATATTTTTTTTTTTCATTTTTTATTATATTTATCTTTGATTTCTCTTTGTATGTGTGTTAAATGTAATTTAAAACTAAGTAAGCATTCATGTTTACATAGTCTTAAATACGTCTACTAGCGACCTCTATCGGTGTTTAAACGCTTTTAATTAAACTCCTGATTTAATTTGCAGCGTATGTTAGGAGAAGATGACCAGAAAATTAAGAAGAAGACTCTCAAAGTTGTGAAGGCTCAGAAGGTTGATGACCAGGGATCCAGCGATGACGATGACTTCGTTTATGAGGTACCTAAGCCACACATAGCTTTTGAAGTGTATCTTCTTGTCTCCTATACGAGATATGTCCATATCTTGCGGGTACTCTTATAATAGGTCGGCAATCCACTAGACGGATCACCTGATGGTAAGCAATCGGCGTCAATGGACACCCGTAAGACTAGAGGCGTTACAAGTGCGTTACCGGCCTATTGGGGGTTAGGGGATTTGAGTATCAGGTCTCCACTGTCCGCATTCTCTTCAATCCCTGAATCCCTAACAATCCTCAAACTCCTAATCCCCAAAATATCAGCAACGCATTTGTAACGCCTCTGGTATTTCGGGTGTCCATAGCTTTTTTTATGGGATAAGCCGTTATCCCATAAAAAGAAACTCGCGGAGAACCTAACGGGTTACCGGGGCTCCGGCTCGAAGTGCAGGAGTAGGAACGGGGTGGTTTTTAGTCAGTAAGAGTCTGACACTCCCTCCCGCCTCACCCAGGCGGGAGCAATCATTCGATGATTTCCCCCCTTTAAAAAAATGCCATTAAAAGCACCAACTCTGATTTATGCATAGTTTTATTTATTCCACACATCAAGGTAAAGAGTTTGTTCTCCATTCCTCTACACTTCCTATCAACGAACAAAAAATATGTTAATATTTCACTTACAGCGCAGCCAAGTGAAGACGCTGAAGCTAGCAAAGAACGCCTTAATAAAACGACCAGCTACTAAGGCAGTACCCGAAGATATGAGCGATGGAGACGATGAGACTGACCAGGTAAGCATTCATCCACCACTTTTGACTTTGACGGCATAGGGACGAAAGAGAAGATGGCTCAGAAGGCTCTCTTTTTATTAACCGACTTCAAAAAAGGATGTCCTAATAATAATAAATACAATAAAAAAAAATTTATGTAATCGGTCCAATCATTCACGCGCTTTTTCGATCTCTTTGACTGGATTTTAGTTTTACATTATTCTCGCACAATCGAACCAATAAAACTGTGTAACTGAAGAATTGTATTGTGAACCCGATAGAAAAAGAGTAACCTATGGAGTTTCTTGCTCGTTCTTCTCCATAGGTATCTACCTCTAATATAAAAGAATAAAATCACAACAACAAGAGATCACAAATACTATGTACCTACACACAGTAGCTATGTTCACCAATCAACAACAGCGAATACCGGAATAATTTATGTTACTAGAAAAGTGGTTAAATATGAGAGTGGATTTAAAGCTAACTTCACTTTGTTTCAAATCTACTCTCATGTTTTGATAACGACGCCAAGATCAATACATAGTATAAAACAAAGTCGCTTTCGCTGTATGTCCGTATGTATGCTTAGATCTTTAAAACTACGCAACGGATTTTGATGCGGTTTTTTTTAATAGATAGAGTGATTCTTAAGGAAGGTTTGTATGTATATACATATTGCACCCGTGCGAAGCCGGAGCGGGTCGCTAGTTAAAAATATAAAAGGTCATAAGCGCCACTAATATTGCTATGCAAAAGTGCAAAAGTGACATTGGAAGTCCACTTATGTCTATAAGTGTACATTCTGCTGCCCTTCATCTTTCGGACCAAACAGACAAACGGGGCAAGGTAAATAAAGAAACCTTGATATCTTTGGTTCCAGTCATCAGATGAAGGTTCCACAGTGCAACGCATGTTTGAAGTGAAGACACCGACATCTACCGCCACCAAGACGGAACCACAGAAGAAAATAATCAAACATGTCGTCCACATGACTAATACTACTAACAAGAACCGTGAGTAATAAATATTACATAACATCACGCCTTTTATCCCCGAAGGGGTAGGCAGAGGTGCACATTATGCCACTGTACAATGTAACACCTACTTTTCACTATTTATGCTATGAGTCCCATGTAATAAGGGTGAGCCTATTACCATATACCGGGCACAATTCCAGACTCCGTGCTACTAATGAGAATTTTTAAAAACCCAGTTTTACTTTGCCCGACCCGGGAATCGAACTCGAGACCCCTTGCCCGGCAGTCGCACTTGCGACTACTCGGCCAACGAGGCAGTGATATATGTGTATTATAATGTTATATTGAATACTAGTCTCTGCCAGCCGCTTCGCCCAAGTTGCCGTGCGATAGTTGAACGGGTCAACCTGTTGTGGTTCTTTCCTCAAAAGGCCACTACAGAACGAACTTGCACGGTTCTCACACATAATCTTTTATGTTTTTATAATAACTATCGTGAGACATACTAAATTAACTAAAAATCGCGGGTTACTCACATGAATATACTGACAAAAGCTCTACTAGTTTCGAACTACAGAGGGGTTCTTCCTCATGAGCAGCGTGCGCGGTCGCGGCGATGTATATAGCCTACTCTCAGTAGAGCTTTTCTCAGTATATTCACGTGAGTATCTCGCGATTTTTTAGTTAATTCAGTAGATATGTATGATAGTTATTATGAAAACAAAATGTTCTATAGGTAGTTTAAATTTTTACAAAATCTATATTATAATAAGACTTGCCCTATTGGTGATCGTGACGACCAAACATTCAGACGTACTCAGTTCAGCCTCCCACAGTCCCCCCCCAATGACGACACATCGCCACCTTTTACCTAATTTTATTTTATTTCACTTTTACAGCAAAACAAGAACTAAAGCAAGTCAAAACGTACTCACAACAAAAACCGCAGTCTAAACCAAATTTCACCCCCCAAAAACCGAATTTGAGTCAAAAACTATCTTCGACGCCAAAACCGAATTTCGGTGCGCAGAAACCGATTTTAAAAACGCCGAAACCAATACCACAATTGTTGTCGAAATTCACTAAATCGGTTGAGATCAAAACGCCGGCGCCTTTTAAGCCTTTGGACAAGAATTCAAAAGATCAAGGTTCGAAGCCCGGGGTGAAAGATGAGAGCCAAAAACACGATGATTTTGATGATGTCATCGACGAAGAAGAATTTCTAGAAGATGATGAGTTCGATCTTGATGAAGAGGTAAGACTTTGCCATTTTTTTTTATGGAATAGGAGGCAAACGAGCAGACGGATCACCTGATGGTAAGCGATCAGCGCCGCCCATGGACACCCGCAACACCAGAGGAGCCACAGGTGCGTTGCCGGCATTTTAAAAAGGAATACGCTCTTTCATGTTACGTAGGTGGATTGAAAAGTTAGGGGACTCAGCAAGAAAACAATTGGGTAGTTTCCAGGGTATCAAAATTAAAAATCATACATTTCGGTGAGTGTGCGGGGCTCAGTAGTAGCACGAAGTCTGGAAATGTGCCCGGTATATGGCAATAGGCTCACCCCCTATTACATGGGACTCATAACATCAGTGGCGTGCAGTCCATATAGGCGAAAAGGCATTGCCTACCTATAAATATCGTGAATATATAACATACATATAATGTACAAACGCGTTTATTAAAATTCAATAATATAATAAAAGTTTGTAAAAAAACGGCTAACATAAATACGCGCCTTTGTAAAGTAATGAATGCGCCCCGCACGCACCACGCATGCGCCACTATTCCTTAAATCTTGGTTGGCAGTAGTGACGTCACAAAAGAAATGTACCAAAAGTATGCACCGCGCATGCGTGAAGTTCACGACCATAGTCACGGTACAGAATAACCATTCATAATTATATTACGCGATTCCTGTTGATTGACAAAATGTTTGCAACTAAAAAATTAGAGGACCGTTCGTTCATCACTTGGAAAACGATCGTATTTTATTAAGAATTCTAAATACAATAAAACAACAACAAGTTATTGTATTTTTAAAAACAATTAAATCATAAAAGGATTTAAATTGATAAAATTTGTATGTATATCGTAAAGTACTGATGAATGGAGTACACCAGCGCCATCTATTGAATTTTTTGTTGAAACTTCTGAACTCGTTCGATATAATGCGAATGTATTTTTATAAATGCGTATTTAACAAATATTTTTCAAGTGTTTTAATTAAAGTTTAACATTTTTACGCGTTGTCGGTTTATAGAAATTTTAAACGAGGAGTTGACTTTATTATTATAAAAGTTAAAAGGAAGTTATTGATACGTCAAGATGGCGCCATTTACAACGTTTCAAATTATATGAATGAATGTTTTTTAGTATGAAATATTGGTTTAAGACGATGATGCAATTTCATTTGACTTACTAAATTAACGTTTGTTTTTTTGAAATTAAACGCTGCGTTACCTTAATTTTTAAGCTACATTTTTTTTATAATAAACACTCAATTGACTATTGGTAATGACTTCAATTCATTTCCAATGTTTTCGGCCATATTGTTTTCATGTGATGTGCGATCGCTTTGTTTATGTTTTCGTTTAAATTATTAGGAATTAGTTTTAAACATAAAGTTGCATAAATGTGTAGTAGTAGTTAAATATATGTGTAGGTTTTTCAAATAGTGTATTTGTTTCTCAGTTTCTAGTACAAGTACCTATATTATTCGATTGTGAAGTGTGTGTGAATAATAGGTAATTTTATGTGTTTGTTGAAAGTAAAAACAGTAAGATTTCGCAATGTCCTTTATCGGACTAGATTCAGGTAATGACCATAGGCAGAGGTGTACTCGAGTTACGAGAATTGACCCAAGTAAAAGGTAGGTAATGTAAATATGTACTATAATGGATCTTTTATTTGATTTTCTTGTTTATTGTTTGATAATTCTTAAAAATATCAACTTAGACTTCGGGTTGTACTGATTCACATATTAATTTATTATTAATATTTATGTAATGTAGTAATAACAAATGTACCGCATAGACTCGGCCGGCTCGGCCACAGCCGGCCGCGCTTGTTATTGTTTTGTTTGTTGACATAATGTAGGTACCTACGTCAGACTCTTACTGACTGAAAACCACCCCGTTCCTACTCCTGCACTTCGAGCCGGAGCCCCGGTTACCCTGGCAACGACTGCACGCCACGTGTCGCGGGTTTGATTCCCGCACGGAACAACTCTTTGTGACACAGATTGTTGTTCCGTGTCTGTGTGTGATGTGTATGTGAACTTGTATGTTTGTAAACGCACCCACGACACAGGAGACAATACTGGTGTGGGGTAACGTATAAAAAAACCATGTTACGTCGTCCGCAGCTCAAGTACCTAAAGATATTATACTTACATCGTAAAGGCTCCCATCTTCGGATCTGCTCTCAGCATCACTAGGAACCTCTTCGTCCATCACCTCCGGCTTCATGATGCGTTGTTTCTTTGATGTGTCACCTTCTGACTCTTCTGCAAACTCCTGGGAGAGAAGCGTAATCTTTATATTCAAGTCTACCAAAAGCTCTTAACTAACAAGTGTGGGAGAGCCATGCTTCGGCACGAACGGGCCGGCTCGACCGGAGTGATACCACGGCCTCACAGAAAATCGGCGTGAAGCAACGCTTGCGTTGTGTGATTGAGGTTGTTGTTGCCCAATTACCCTGCCCTTCCCCAATCTCCCCAATTTCTGAAACCCCAACGATCCTCAAACCCCCAAAAGGCCGGTAACGCACTTGTAACGCCTCTGGTGTTACAGGTGTCCATGGGCGACGCCGATTGCTTACCATCAGGTGATCCGTCTGCTCGTTTACCGGCTTATGCCATAAAAAAACTAAAGTTACTTAGCCTATAAGAGACCATTTAAACTGTCAAACACCAAGCGGTCACCGGTGACCAAACGAAAAAACAAAACCGGTACTCGACGAGTTAACTCGTCGAGTACCGTCATTATAGACACAATTATAGAACAATAGGTTGCGGTCACCGGTGACCGCTTGGTGTTTGACAGTTTAAATGGTCTCTTATAGGCTAAGTAACTTTAGTTTTTTTATGGCATAAGCCGGTAAACGAGCAGACGGATCACCTGATGGTAAGCAATCGGCGTCGCCCATGGACACCTGTAACACCAGAGGCGTTACAAGTGCGTTACCGGCCTTTTGGGGGTTTGAGGATCGTTGGGGTTTCAGAAATTGGGGAGATTGGGGAAGGGCAGGGTAATTGGGCAACAACAACCTCAATCACACAACGCAAGCGTTGCTTCACGCCGATTTTCTGTGAGGCCGTGGTATCACTCCGGTCGAGCCGGCCCGTTCGTGCCGAAGCATGGCTCTCCCACACTTGTTAGTTAAGAGCTTTTGGTAGACTTGAATATAAAGATTACGCTTCTCTCCCAGGAGTTTGCAGAAGAGTCAGAAGGTGACACATCAAAGAAACAACGCATCATGAAGCCGGAGGTGATGGACGAAGAGGTTCCTAGTGATGCTGAGAGCAGATCCGAAGATGGGAGCCTTTACGATGTAAGTATAATATCTTTAGGTACTTGAGCTGCGGACGACGTAACATGGTTTTTTTATACGTTACCCCACACCAGTATTGTCTCCTGTGTCGTGGGTGCGTTTACAAACATACAAGTTCACATACACATCACACACAGACACGGAACAACAATCTGTGTCACAAAGAGTTGTTCCGTGCGGGAATCAAACCCGCGACACGTGGCGTGCAGTCGTTGCCAGGGTAACCGGGGCTCCGGCTCGAAGTGCAGGAGTAGGAACGGGGTGGTTTTCAGTCAGTAAGAGTCTGACACTCCCTTCCGCCTCACCCAGGCGGGAGCAGTCATTGGACTATCATAAAACCACGCCTTTTATTGCCGAAGGGGTAGGCCAAGTTGCATATTACGGCATTTAATGCCACTGTACAATGTAACACCCACTTTTCACAATTTATGTTTTAAAAAACCTAGACTTATAATTTACAATTCATCAACAGCCTATAAATGCCCACTGCTGAGCAAAGCCTCTTCTCACACGGAGAAGGTTAGAGCATTAATCACCACGCTTGCTCAATGCGGGTTGGCGATTTCAAACTTATAATTAGAAATTATAAGTTCAGGTTTCCTCACGATGTTTTTCCTTCACCGTTTGTCAATGGTGTCTAAATAATCTTAGAAAGTACATATAACTCGGAAAAAGCGACATTGGTACTTGTCGTTGGTAGTTTCGAGCCCGCACCCTCATGCATGAGAAGTGGGCGTCTTAAACCTCCGGGCCACCACGACATTAATTTACAATTATAAGTTTGGAATCGCCAACCCGCATTGAGCTAGCGTGACGACTAATGCTCAAACCTTCTCCGTGTGAGAAGAAGCCTTTGGACTGTAGTGAAATAGTAACAAGTAGTTCTAATATGAAACAAAATTATTTTACTAAAGCAATCTCGTTGATCTCGCGAGATCTCGTCTATTTCTCGGACAAGATTAACATCGCTAAAAATGGACGAGATTAATTATTGTGTATTCGGCTTAATCACGTAATGATTGACGAGGAACTCGACTAGTTTCAAGCCATGCTAGAGGCTTATGCTCATGAGCAGCATTCCGCGACCGGCGACGCGGCGACTGTAATATGAGCCTCTAGCATGGCTTGAAACTAGTCGAGCTCCTCGTCAATCATTACGTAACTAAGCCGAAAACATAATAATTTATTTAGTATGTCTCACGAAAGTATTAACATAAACAATAGACGAGATGCCGCGAGATGTCATCCCGATCTTCATTTGGCTAATAATTATAACTAAAATATAATATGTCGTTTACAGGAACTCCCCTCATCAGATTCCGAAGACCTAGACGACTGGTTCACCCTCGACATACGAGCTGAAAGAGCCGGAGACTACTTACCACTATTAGGTGAGAATAAAATATTATTTTCTTAAATAAACTTAACTTAATAGTTATGATAGTAGTACTTGACAGTTTGAGTATTTGTGCGACCCACGCAAATGTTCTTTAGGTTGGTATTGTTCGTCGAATCAGTCAGCCTCACCTGTTAATTGAGCTGACTGTAAACCGACACATGCGTACTGCCTTCAGAACGGGTCCGCTCAAACTGTTGTGGTTCTTTCCTCAAAAGGCCACTACAGAACGAACTAGCACGGTTCTCACACATAATCTTTTATACATATTGTCTGGACTTTAAAAGAGACAGACCTCTGAGTTTGTTTCGGCATTTCTTCTCAGAGTAGTCAGTTAGGAAATGTCGACCTCATCGTTCGCTTGATAAAATTGACGTGTAGAAGTGCTGCAGAAATAAATTCAATTGTTTCACTTAAAAAACTAGATTTGCGGATGTCCATGGGCGACGCCGATTGCTTTCCATCAGAGGCCTTAGGTAAAAGTTTGTTTTACGTTTAAAGTATTCGAAACGAGTACGCGTTCGGCGCTCTGATTGGTTGCTTCATAGGCGCCAGCCAATGAGAGTGCCGTACGCGTACCCGTTTCGAATACTTTAAACGTTTTTTTTATGGCATAAGCCGGTAAACGAGTATACCATGAAATATGTGGATTATATGAACACTGTTATACATACATCATTTCAGTAGATAGCTTCAGCCAGTGGCTTTTAATAACCTCTGTTCCAAATTTCATCTCGATACCACAACTTATAAACTAGTATTAGTACATAAAACCTCATCATATAAAATTAAAATAATTTGTCATATAGATAATATAATAATTCAGTAACAATACAAACGACTTTCACTACATCTGGGCACGGTTTGTAGGCAACACTTGCGTCTTCGTCCAGTGTTTAAACATAAGGCAATTAGTCCCATCCGCCACGGTTATCAAAAGACTGTTATATTTTTTTTTCTTAAAAGTACTTTGATACTCAGACATACACAAAAATTCACAATATAATATCTATTAGTTTAATTTTTTCAAAATTCCAGGTACAAAAGCCAAAGAACTGTTGCTAGCAGAGCGTCGCAGAGTCAGTTCCCGAGTGGCGACATTGCGCCAGAGTCTATCAGCGTTAACTGACAGTGCAAGACGGCAAGCTGATCAGCTTCGCGCGGCCGCCATGGCACTCGCAGAGATAGACGACACTCTAAGGGCCGCCTGACCTGAAGATCCTTCACAGCCCACTGCTGAAATATGTGCCTCCCCTACATAAATGGGATTGCTATATTAATATGGTCTCATCATCATCAACAGCCTATAAATGCCCACTGCTGAGCAATACCCTCTTCTCATATGAGAAAGGTTTGACCATTAATCACCACGCTTGCTCAACGCGCGATGGCGATTACAAACTTATATTAAATTAGAAATTATAAGCTCAGGTTTCCTCACGATTTTTTCCTTCACCGTTTGTCAGTGGTGTCTAGATAATCTTAGAAAGTACATATAACTCTGAAAAAGTCACATTGGTACTTGCCGTTGGTAGTTTCGAGCCCGGACTCTCATGCTTGAGAAGCGGGCGTCTTAAACCTCCGGGTAACCACGACATATTGAACATAATAGGGTAGTTTCCTAAATTTTATTTTAAACTGTCAAACACCAAGCGGTCACCGGTGACCGCAACCTATTGTTCTATAATTGTGTCTATAATGACGGTACTCGACGAGTTAATGTTGTAGTTTATGTTTTCTCTTTGCCTAAACTGGCTGGTTCAAATCCTGCTCGAAGGATCAATGTTTAGGCCAGGTAATTTATTACGTGTGGGAATGTCATGCGGCCGAGGTACAATACTGTATGCTAATATTACCATGGTGAAGTGGTGTATTGGGCGCGGTCGCTCGGCTTCCTCAGTGGCCCCTCCCCCCCTCCCCCCGGCTTGTAGCCTGGCCCTGCCCTTGTTCTAGTGTGTGTGAACACCTATATACTCGGAATTTTAATTCGATTCCAGATTTGACAATTTCAGTGTTGCAACGTTATGACAAGTACTAAATAGTGACGTTGCGAAATTATTCGATTTGGAAATGCAATATTTCTGGATCGATTCTTCTCGTTTATAATTTTACTCTCGTAAACTAAGAATATCAGAAAATTAAATATTTCTAAACCGTTAATTTAGTTTTGACGATTAATTCTGAGACTTTTCTTTTATAATTGTGTGTGAAATAACTAAAAAAATGTAATCATGAAGGAACATGACAAATAAAACAGATAGATGTATTATGGTAATAAGTTATTTTATAAATTGTCGCCGTCATCGCTATCGCTATCCTGTCACTTTCTGTAACATTTATTATAAAACACACACACTGATTGTGTATCGATTTTTGTGTTCATCACTACACTATTATTTTTTATTTTTTTTATTTTTTTTAAAAAACGTTGCCCCACACTAAGATTTTCTCCTTTGTCGTGGGTGCGTTTACAAACATACAAGTTCACATACACAATGACACCCAGACCCGGAACAACAATTTGTGGATCACACAAAGTGTTGTCCCGTGCGGGAATCGAACCCACGACACGTTGCACGGCAGCCGGTTGCCCAGCCACCGCACCAACCGTGCAGTCAATTATATGTGGTATCATTATTTCACAAAATGACAGTAGCTATTGTCAAATCTGGAATCTAATTAAAATTCTGACTATACATACTGAATGATTTGGTTGCCTATCATTTTTTATCATCTATATTCAGTTTTAACTTCTTTATAAAGCGTTCGGTCTCTGTCAAATGTGTAGTCCCTTAGTCTGAGTATACGGCAACCGCGGGAATAGTCGCGGTGGTGGCATATTATTATGTATTCTACTCTGCTTTTATATTATAAATGCACTAGCTTCTCCCCGCGTCTTCTTACGCTCGTTTTTCCCGTTCCCGATCGAGATTTTCGGTAAAATGTAAAAAAGTATTGGATTAAAAGTATTCCTATATTCGTCTCCTGGTTCTAAGCTACCTCCTTACCTATTTTCATCCAAATTGATTTAGCCGTTCTTCACTACATAGTATAAAACAAAGTCGCTGTCCGCCGTCTGTCTGTCCCTATGTATGCTTAGATCTTTAAAACTACGCAACGGATTTTTATGCGGATTTTTTTAATAGATAGAGTGATGCTTAAGGAATGTTTATATGTATAATACATGCATATTGCACCCGTGCAAAGCCGTGGCGGGTCGCTAGTGAGTTATAAATAGTGTAACTAACACGACTTTCTTTTATATACAACAAGTAACGTAATTAACGCACACCCTCAAACACCCCAATTAGAATATTATGTTATAATCATAATACATACACTAAATTTTTAATTTAACATGTATATCCATCCTTACTGGTCTTGTCATAAGGTTTATTTTTCTTTAATTTGTATTGAATGATAGAATGTGTATGAATACAAATAAAACTGCGATTTTAAAAGTCTTATTGCTTTGACTTACGGTCCATTTCGATTTGTTTTAACATTAATGACAATAATTTCCATAGTTTTAATTATTTTTGGGATAAAAAATTACCTATATTAAAAATTATATAAATCGATTCAGTTAACGATTCTGAACAAACTATTTTCAGGATGTGCGTTATTTAAGTTACATGTTGTATATATAGATATTGTATTACATTATCTTTTATTAAGATACATATACGCCTCTCTTCAGATCGGACAAGTCTTATAACAAAATGTTGTCATATACACTTAATTTTAATTGTAATTAAATATAAGTTTCTCACGTAAGTCTTGTAAATACATTATTATGAAATAAAGTACTTAGTTGTTAATAAAGTTTGTTTATTATTTAACCCCCTACTTTGGCTTCATACAGGGGCGGATTGAACCTACAGAGCGCCCTAGGCAAGCACCTCATTGGCGCCCCTAATATTTTTGTCGCCGCCGTCACTCTATGTACAGTTGTACACGCACGTCTCGGCGCCCCTCTGTAACCTGGCGCCCGGCACTTGTCTAGAGCGCCTTAGGGATAATACGGCACTCATAATTGGTGAAAAGTTACTAATGTAACATAATGTAATCATTATGTTTTCTTTTATGATATGTGTTTATGGTGTAGGGTGGCAAACGAGCAGACTGATTACCTAACGCTGATGGTAAGCGCCGCCTATGGATACCCACAAAACTAGAGGAGTTACGAGTGCGTTACAGAGGCCTTAGTATGGGTTTGATTTACGTTTCAAGTATTCGAAATGAGTACGCGTTCGGCGCTCTGATTGGCCAGCACCAATCGTTTATTTCTTCTCTTATAATATCTTCCGATTCACTTCGTTGCGGGAACCAAGATAGCTATTCATGTCCCTGGGACGCGCCGGACTTCAGTGTTCCGGTGTTTTTATGATTGTATCTACTGTAGATACTGGTGTACAGGAGTTGTAGCGGTTGGTAGAGGCGTATTAAACTTAGAGAGCGCCCTAAACAAGCACGTCCTCAGCTCTCGTCTCGTCTCTCGTCAGCCCCGACTTTTATTACTAAATAAAAAGCGCTCAGAAAAAATTAAAGATAAGATAAACTAGTTACCTACCGAAACGATCTTCGCAAACCAACCGTTACACGCTGTCATAGCAACTAAATTTGTTATTTCAATAATTCCCATGTGTATAAAAGGAGATATCAAATAATAACTTTTGTTATTCGTTTCTGTATTACATCGTTAAAATGAGTGGCGATGTGATGTACGATGCGCCGCCGAGAAAACATAACGTTGCGAAGATGAGAGTCCACGATTATTTATATGGTAACTATTACATTATTAATTAATAATATTACAGAATCCAAACAACAAAACTATGTAACTAGAGAATTGTATTGTGAACCTGATTTTAAAAGAGTAACCTATGGAGTTTCTTGCTCGTTCTTCTCCACAGGACCTTGGAATGAGCAAATAGCTTCACGTTTATTATTTTTTTTGTTGACGTTCAAAAGTGCCTTTCTTGTCTAATTGAAATAAATGATTTTGACTTTGACATACATACATACATAACTTCACGCCTGTCTCCCATGGGGGTAGGCAGAGACTAAGGAACGCCAATTACTACGATTCTTACATACCTCTTTCGCTTCATTAACAGTCATCAATCTTTTCATGCATGCTCGTCGGTTAAGGGTACTTTTAATTTGGCCCTTCTCTAATATATCGCCAATCGGGTCACTATATGTCCCTCTAGGGCGCCCTCTACCGACGGCCCCATTCATATCCGCTCTGTATACTTCTTTCGTTACTCTACTTTCATCCATCCTTTCTACATGTCCAAACCAGCGTAACATTCCCTTTTCAATCCTTGTCACAACATCATCTTTCAATCCACACCTTTCTCTAATAACACTATTTTGAATTGAAAGTATTTAGTCTTTACCATAAAGGTTACTAACCACAACAATTTTTAAAAGAAATAAGCATAGATCTACTTTCTGTGCACCAAGGTTTCACGTCCATGCGGGCGGCAAACACGGGTGACTCGCCGCCCGATCCTAGGCCGTCGCACGCAAACAACACAATAACGCCGCAGTTGACTTTTACTACTTAAGTTGACAAGCGAGCTTTACACTCTCCTTCATTCTATATTGTGTACGTTAATACTACCACAATGTTAAGTTCGACGGCCCAATAATCTGCCGTCACCACTCGACACTGGCAGTATAGTCGACAACACTATATTGGAGACTCCGTTGCCAAAAAGAAAAAAAAAGGTTACTCGGGGCCCATCTTCAGGGAGCCCCGAAAGACTGGACACACCAGGGACCGATTGCCGCACAGAGCAAATCTATGTGTGATCTATAAATGTTGTTGTTGGTGTTTCGGGTCTTTGTGCGATGTGTATGTGAACTTGTATGTTTGTAAATGCATCCAGGATACAGGAGAAAATCCTAGAGTGGGACATCATTAAAAAAAACCTTTCCAAAGGGCCTTGAATTATTATGTGCGCAAGAGCCCCAGTGCCTTCTAAGTTCTCCCGGCCCTGAAAGTAGCCTTAACCGACGAGCGTTTATGAAAAGACTGATGACTGTGGATGAAGTGAAAGAGGTATCAAAGAATCGTAGCGATTGACGTTCCATAGCCTTTGCCAATCCAATGGGAGACAGGCTTGAGGTCATTTTTTTATGGCATAAGCCGGTAAACGAGCAGACGGATCACCTGATGGTAAGCAATTGGCATCGCCCATGGACACCTGGAACATCAGAGGCGTTACAAGCGTGTTACCAGCCATTTGGGGATTAGGAGTTTAAGGATCGTTGGGGATTCAGGAATTGGGGAGATTGGGGAAGGGGAGGGTAATTGGGCCTCCGGTAACCTCACTCACACGACGAAACAGAACGCAAGCGTTGTTTCACGTCTGTTTTCTGCTCGGCCGTGGTATCACTCCGGTCGAGCCGGCCCATTCGTGCCGAAGCATGGCTCTCTCACGCTTAAAGAAATGTCATGTATGTATTTAAATTACTAAGTTTTACCAGCGCCTTTGCCCGCTTTCTCGTGAGATAAAAAGTAGCCCACGTGTCATTCCAGACCATAATCTGTCTCTGTTTAAAATTTCATCCCGATCGCTTCAGCCGTTTTGACGTGTTTGAGCAACATACCTACATACACACAAACTCACAGACTTTCGCATGTACAATATTAGTAGGATTCGCTTTTATCACTATTGCTTTTCAAAGTCTAAGTCAAAGTCAAAGTCATTTATTTCGATTAACGATCTCCGGCCACCGTAAGCACGGGCCTGCGGACGGCGAGCACGGGTGACTCGCCGTCACACCAGAACCAGGCCCGAGCGAACGGCGCGTCGCGTTCCGCGCGCGCGAGATCCAAGACAGTTACTCATGTCCCTGGGACGCTGGACTTCAGTGTTCTGGTGTTTTTATAGCTGTATCTACTGTAGATCCTGGTGTATAGGAGTTGCAGCGGTATGTGGGGTGCGGTCTTGTCCCAAAGAAGTATTAGGTACCTAACTATACAGTATGGATAGACTTCTGTCTGGTCTCTATCAAATGTCTAGTTCTTTAGTCTGATTTTACAACACCCACGGGAAGGGTAGGGTTGGTGACACTCTGCGGTCATCACACCGCTAGTAATGGAGCTTACCGTATTTTTACTCACCAGATGGCCCTCGTATAAATCTCTCGTTCTTCGTCCAATATAATAGGGAACTAGTTAGTGTCATACCATTGGACGTTCGACGGACGAAATATTTTTGACAGCTGCTGTGGCTGTGGTTGGTCAAAATACCCCTTCCTACATCTATACCATCTGTCTCCTGCAGTAATTCACCGAGGGAAGTGAAAACCATAGTTTTTTCTTCTTCTCCTCTTATAATATCTTCTGATTCACTTCGTTGCGGGAACCAAGACAGTTACTCATGTCCCTGGGACGCGCCGGACTTCAGTGTTCTGGTGTTTTCATGGTTGTATCTACTGTAGATCCTGGCTTACAGGAGTTGCAGCGGTTTTGGGAGGTTGTGGCGGGCTTGCCCCATTTAAAAAAAAAAATCTATACCATCTGGTGAGCATAAAACTTTAGCCCCCATTAGATTACGTATAATAAAATTTGCGTTTACTTACAGACTCGGCGTTCATCGTGTCGGGAGCGCGCGACTACGCTCGCACCGCTTTCAAAGCAGCTATGGCATCAGCTCAAGTCGTAAGTTATTTTAATAAATACATTATATTAGTTTTATTCTCGTTTTAATCGCGATTGAATGTGTTGAACTGAACCGACACGACCTTAAAAGCTGGGAACATAATTTTTAGACTGTACGAAGTTTGCCGTGTCGACTGGCTAGTTTAAAATATTCTTATTTTGTTTCAGGTTTTACAGCCAGTGTACGGCAGCATGTTTTCTGAGTTAAGCCTCCGACCGAGAATGAAAGTCGGTAAGTGTTAATTTTATTTATTTATTTATTTATATTTAAAAACACCATAAACATTAATTGCCAAATAAATGTTTTTTCTTTCTTTCTATTTTTTATATACCTAGTTTTATTAGGTAGTTTGCGAATTTATGATTCCATAATACTGAAGCGCTATTACGGATAACATAAGCAGAACCTAACGGGTAACCGGGGCTCCGGCTCGACGTACAGGAGAAGGAACGGGGTGGTTTTTAGTCAGTAAGAGTCTGACACTCCCTCCCGCCTCACCCAGGCGGGAGCAGTCATTCGATGATTTTCCCCCCTTAAAAAAAAAGCAAAAATACAGACGAAAAAATAAAGAACTGTAGCAACAAGAGTCAAAAGACTAGCACAGGGTGTACTTTTTCGTGGATAACACCTAAATCATTATAATATTTCAGTCAATTAGTATTCAATTGTTTCAGGTGCCTAATTACGTTAGGTACCCTTGTCTTGGTTGTAATCCTACACATATCGACTCTAATGAATTTCGAATTTGATTTAATTTAATTTAATCCCATAATTAATTGAATTAATCGATCGCAACTTTTATGTTATGTTGCTTGATCGTGTTTCGAATGTTATAATTTTTTTTATGTAACTTATTCTAACCGTTTTATGTGCATGCTGTGTTAGCCAGTAAGTAGTTGTTACACTTACCAAAGTATTATTTGTTATGATGTAATGAATGTATGAGTGTAAATAACTGTTGGTTAACCTAATAAATAAATAAAAATAATAATAAAAAAAAAAATATAAAAACTAAATATAATAATGTTCACTTAGATTTTTTTTTTATATTTTTTTGAAGACTATTGAAACCTTGTCGATCACCTGGTGCCATTTGATCGTCGACTTCAGGGATACTCTGTATGTATATGTCAAAGTTTGGCCAATTCACGATTGGGTAAAAATGGGCATTAGCACACAAAACAAAGATTATAAAAAAATTAAAATACAGATACATAAACAAAATACTAATAATAAACTTAAAAGAATAGAGAACTCGTTACATCCCATACTACTTATCGAGTGTGTGGCAGGCGCATAAACCGCACGTTGTCGCCGTATAATATTTCGAGTACAATCGACAGGCTTCGGCTTGACATTTCGCCGATACAATACATGTCGGGGTACGGTCATAGGTCAAAAGTCCACTGCCACCGTAAGACTACTATCGGTTGCGCTGCAGCATTTATACACACACACACACACACGCATATTTGTATCCGTATGCGTACGCGTGCGCGTTTTTATGCGTACGCATGCGTGTTTATGCACATTAATATGAAATTACTTACGCATTGCCGTGTGAATATCACTCACAGTGGCAGTGAACTTTTGACCTATAACTGTCCATTTGCAATAATGCATTGTTTGCTTTATTACAAACAAATGCCACTATTTGTTTGTTAGGCTAATGCTAACTTTACAAACAAATAGTGGCAAAAAAACATCAGAAAGCCAATTACCGAACAGTGGCGTAGCGTATCTTGGCAGCGTACACAAATTTGTTTGGGGGCCCTTATGAAAGGTAAATTCCTCAGTAGACATTTTTTTTTACATAATATTGTAACTCCCTCTGCCCAAACTATCGAACAATGATTACTTTAGTTTTTCCAAAGTTTATGCCATGGAATAGATTTCTCTATTATCTTAATATATATAAATCTCGTGTCACAATGTTTGTCCTCAATGGACTCCTAAACCACTTAACCGATTATAATAAAATTCGCACACCATGTGCAGTTCGATCCAACTTGAGAGACAGGATAGTTTAAATCTCAAATTATAGTCGCAATTTTAATTTATTGCTAATTATTTGTCAGTTATTATTTGACAGTCACAATTATCTGTTAACTCCAAATGATTCTAACAGATGTCGATACCTTTCGACTACTCAACCGAGTAAGTACCTAATCAATAGATGGCGCTGCTATGGTATATCTACGAACGTGTCAAATAAGCTACATTTTAACAGCATAATTACCGCGTGTTGTTGACGCTATTAGAATATATATAATACATGCATATTGCACCCGTGCGAAGCCGGGACGGGTCGCTAGTAGTATGTATAGTTTTTTCTATTCCATGGTTTCTGCCAACCTTTGAACGCATGCATTTTGTAATATAATAATAGTACTGACAGATTACTGAATACTAGGTAATAGTATAAAGAGTAAAGATTTGATTTTTTGTTTGTTTATTTATTTATTTATTTATATATTTATATAAAACCTTATCTAAACTATCATGACAGGTTTCTCCATCGCGATAGCTTGGCCTTAAAAAACTAAATATATGATAAGTCCAATTATAAAAAAAAACCACCCCGTTCCTTCTCCTGCACGTCGAGCCCGAGCCCCGGTTACCCGTTAGGTTCACCGCGCGTTATGTCTACAGTGACGTTTATATTGCCAGATATCTCAACCAAAGTCTGACAACGTCGCGTTAATCCACCCAACATCGTTGGCGACACGTGTCGCAGGAAATTTGTCACCCATCCTTGGCTTAAATAAATAAATAAATAAAATTTCTCCCCACAGTGTATCACCCAAACTGTCGTCTGCCGAACCATATCGACAGGTCGTACAGTGCCTACCTGAATCGTGTCAAGGAAGGGAAGAGCCTCCCTAACCCTGAGTTTAGTGGCAAGGACTCGTACAAGTATACTGCTGTGTAAGTATTAAGTATACGCGACATATTTTTATGGAATAGGGCTGATAACGGGGTATGAAAATTAAGAACATACTTATTTAGTCCATCAGTTAGATAATAGAAAAATATTAGACCCGCCTTGGTAATCCAAGGTGCGTCTAATATTTTTTGAGAGAGAGTCGGCGAGACAGTGTCAAACTCTTACTGACTACAAACCACCCCATTCCTACTCCTCTGCTCTTCGAGCCGGAGCACCGGCAACCCCTAGGTTGAGCCTTTCGCGGCTCCGTATCGGGCTTCAGCCCTACTGACATGATTAACTGCCTGGGATCTCGCAACGAAATAATCAGAAGGTATTGTTGGACGGAAAGCTAATTAAGCCTATGACGATGAATTATTATTTCACATGTTTCAGTCCAAAACGTGTGTTGGCTGTGCACACGACGAGTCCAGACTTCAGGCCGAATACACCAACGTTTCCGATACTGACACATACCAAACCAAGGAACAGAGGCACGCAGAGCAAGTACAGGTAAAAAAAGACTTTATTTTTAACTAGTGACCGCCCCGGCTTCGCACGGGTGCAATATGCATGTATTATACATACAAACCTTCCTTAAGAATCACTCTATCTATTAAAAAAAACCGCATCAAAATCCGTTGCGTAGTTTTAAAGATCTAAGCATACATACGGACATACAGCGGAATCGACTTTGTTTTATACTATGTATTGATATTTATCCCCGAAGGAGTAGGCAGTGGTGCACTTTACGACACTTTGATGTTATGAGTCCCATGTAATAGGGGGTGAGCCTATTGCCACAACTCCAGACTCCGTGCAGCTACCTACTTAGAATTTAAAAAACCCAGTAGTACTTTGCCCGACCGGGTATCGAACCCGAGACCTTGCCCAGCAGTCGCATTTGCGACCACTCGGCCGACGAGGCACTCAGTCTGACAGTTAGAAGTTTTAAAACATACAATTTTACCGACAGAGAATTTTAAAAAACCCCGTTGTACTTTGCCTGCCCCGGGTATCGAACCCGAGACCTTGCCCAGTAGTCGCATTTGCGACCACTCGACCAACGAAGCAGTTTAAGATTCAAAATTGTATTGTTACACCGTACCGACAACAAAATCATTTAGTAAAATAAGAAAACAAAGATAGATTCAGTACAGAGACAGTAGCTATTGTTGTACTAAATTGTACGCTTTGTAACGAAGCCATATCTTTTGTAACCATTGGTCGGCTCTAGACAACCAATGGCTACTGTCTCTGTACTGAAACAATCTATATTTTCTCACCTAGATGACTTGGTCGACTGTGAATGAGAACGGTCCGTTTCAGGGAGTCTTCAGCGCAAACAATACCGTGGCAACCTGACGGGAAGGCGGCCAAGCAATGCGAGAACACACCAGAAGTACTATACCTTGATAAACTGGAATGGGGTAGGTCGCAGTTGTTAATTTTTCGAGTAACTTATAATAATAATATAACATTGCCGCGCCAGAGGCGGATTCAACCAGAGAGCGCCCTAGGCAAGCACGTCATAGGTGCCCCTAATTTTTCTGGCGCCGCCGTCACTCTATGTGCAGTTGTACACGCGCGTCTCGCGGCGCCCCTCTGTAACCTGGCGCCCGGCACTTGTCTAGAGCGCCTTAGGGATAATACGGCTCTGGTTATAACTAACTAGCTTTTACCCGCGGCTTCGCTCGCGTCACAAAAGGGTAAAAGTAGCCGTGACATATACTAATACACACAGCGCCATCTATACCAATTCTTTGGTTTTCCCTCGGGATTATCGAAATTTTCCGGGATAAAAAGTACCATATTATTTATTCCGGACTTCTAACTGTACGCCTGCAAAAATTCAAAGCAATCGGTTTAGTAGTTACGGCGTGAAAGTGGATCAAACAAACAAACAAACTCACTTTTCCATTTATGCGTATTATTATTTCCCACAGGATGCGCGTAGCAAGCTGTGCGACATGTAGCGCGCTAGGGAGTGTAGGGGAGTAAGTCTCGGGAAAAAACTAGATTTTATGGGCTCTGGACCGCGCAAAGAAATATTTATGATCATCAATAGCCTGACAGAGTCCACTGCGGTATTACAGATGTTTTCTAGAAAAGAGACATTTCGGATTTGATATAATCTATACGCGTGGCATTCAGGTTGGTGTTCGGTCTGTTTGAGATGACCCGGTGCATAAAGTGTTGAGTGAGGCCACCAGTTTGGCTTTAATCCAATGCTCCCTAGTCTTTTACACCTGTTAGTTTATATAAAATGGTTGCCTGTAAAGTCGTTTTTACGGGCGAAGATTTTACGTGACAACGTCTTTTTCTCGGTAGAATATTTATTGATATGAATATAATTAAATTGCACAATAGGAACAAGGAATTGAATGAACTAGTGCTGCGCGCGCGGCAGACCGATCATAGTTGAGTGGGAGAGAGACGCAAGGCATTCGGCGGGCCTCTCTCTCGTTCGGTGACTCATCGTAACGTTACCGAGCGTTACACTTTTTCATAAGTAACTCCCAGCCGCAACCTAATTTAACTCGTCGAGTACCGGTTTTGTAGACACAATTATAGAACAATAGGTTGCGGTCACCGGTGACCGCTTGGTGTTTGACAGTTTAAGACGTTGTCACGTCAAAAATAAGAATACTCCAAACGCCCTCTAGTGCTAAGTATGTGCAACTTGTAAGGTATATTGTCCGTGCTTCAATAAGCCATCTGCACATTTTTCAAGTGAATTCCGCATGTACACGTCGTTTTATTAATACCCTAAAAGCTAGGCGCCAGTTTCCCCCCGTCATCAGTGATGTATCAGTCATAATGTTTACAGAACAAAACTGATAAATCGCTACCTAGTGTAAGACGAAATATAGTTGAAATTTAAGTGGCACGATATTCATCGCTTCGCCGCCACTAGTCGGGCGAATTAAACGGGATGACGAATCGTATTAAACGTTAAGAAATATATGAAAATATGTCTCAAGTTGCAGGGACTGGCGTAAAGTGGCGTATTATGCGAGAAATCGTATTAATCGTGATCGTCTTAAACGGGTTCTACTGTACATAAATGACTCGCCCCATTTATTTAAAAATGAACCACAGATGGTATTATTTGCTGATGACACTTCATTCGTTTTTAAAATAAATAGATGAACAAATAATTATGATGACGTAAATAACGCCCTAATGAAGGTTCAAAATTGGTTTACATTTAATAACTTAGTACTGAACGTAATTACTATTGTTGACGTTCAAAAGTGCCTTCCTGGAATAATTGAAATAAATGATTTTGACTTTGACTTATAGGTGACGGCGGCGGCGGTGGCGCATTAGACTCGTTCATCTGCGGCTGCGTAGGTGTTGGGTATTCGTTTTAAGGATTATTTGTCATATTATCCTCAGGTCCTGGTATGCCGTACCGTGTCGGAGATCTTCCAGCTGACTTCTACACCACTGCTATCATTAATAAGTGAGTTCTTTCGTACTATTACACACAATCAGCTTTCTCTAATTCTTCAATATGTACATATCTAAGTAGTGGTTAAGATGAACCCACCCCTAAACCCTTAACAAAAGTTACTTACCGTGACGTAGCCCCTAAACTTGTACTGTTAGGTGTAAGTGTCACTTATGGGTTGATGTAACCTATAATGTCGTTAAATTTCACCTATCTTAGCTGAGGGATTTCTTAACAGATTGGTGAAAACTGCCTTTTTTATACGTTACCCCACACTAGGATTTTCTCCTGTGTCGTGGGTGCGTTTACAAACATACAAGTTCACATACACATCACACACAGACACGGAACAACAATTTGTGGATCACACAAAGAGTTGAGAATCGAACCCGCGTCACGTTGCGTGGCAGCCGGTTGCCCAGCCACCGCACTAACCGTGTTGTCAAAATTAAGCTACTGTTTATGTCGTGGCATTACCATAAAATGGGGTGGATAGGAATCGAGAGGTAAATAGATATATTAGGAAATTCTTCATAGTATCAATTCACCCTTCTTCTGTCACATTCACATCTCGATGCCTATTCACCCCATTTTACCGTTATATAAAATTGGGGTTTCATCATCAGGATGCGTCACGCCCGAGCTTGGATGGATCTGGTGGAAGCTGGCCAGTTCCCCAGCTGGATGAAGGACAGAGATAGCATCATCAATGATGTTGTGGTCAAGGACTGGCTCTTTAGGGAAGGGGTGAGTACATCATCATCATCATATCAGCTACATGCCCATTGCGTCACGTAGTCCTCCCTCAATGACTTCTTCATCTTCACCGGCCGGTCACAAGCGACCTGCAGCAATTGGCTACGATAGATAAGCTTCTTAATTGTACTGATCTTTACAAACTACAGCTGCTTTCATGCGGTTTCAACCACTTCTCGACGCCAATGATTCGGTTCGGATTCGGATTCGGATTCGGATTCGATTCTTGACGTTCGATGTGAACAGACGTGCATACTAGAGATATTGAATCAAAGCAATAATAGTGACCTACATTATTATTCTGCTTATTGTAATACTTAGTTATAAATAATGGAAATACAAACTTAGTTGTTTCGAAGATGGATTTAAACCCGAGCAAGCTGGCTTCCTGTACTTCACCATTAAAGAGCAGCCGTAATTCTGACTTCTCGATACAAGCTGTGTCGACGCCCGATATTCAAAATTGGATGTCAAACATTGAAGACCTGTTACATGAAGTTTGCACTATTTCCACAGAGGGCAAACTTAATTCGGACCAAAAACTTAAAATATCCAACCTGAGCCGAAAAATTGGTGCTGATGTCTCGCAAATGGCTGTCTTATACCAAGCTCTTAAGCAGCAAGCCCGCATAGCCGTCAACATTATAGATGAGATGAGAGAAAAGCAGGACCTTGTGGAACAAATTTCGGACATCAAGCAGACTATCAAGGATTCAGCATCAACGGGAAATGTTTCATTTGCTGACATGGTAAAAAAGGGAACTGACTTCGTGCGACCTACAAATCTGACTTCTATTGCAATTTACCCAGCAAATAATTCAAAATCTAGCGATGAAACAAAATCTCTCGTCCAAAAAATCATACGCCCTGACCAATTGCAGCTACATGTGCGTGGTGTGCGTAAAATTCATAACGGAGGCGTTATAATCAGCACTGAGTCTAAAGAAGATGCTAAGAAAGTTAAAGACGCACTAGCCCTATCATCGTCTGGACTTATTGCCGATGAAGCAAAAAAACGAAAACCAAGAATCACAGTTCTAGGAGTGCCGTCTGTTTTATCCGATGCTGATGTCCTCAGGTGCATATTTGAACAAAACATAGCTGGTAAGTTCCAAGAGTTGACTATAGAGTCTTTCCTAACAAGTGTGAAGTTAAGTCACAAATCTGGCAGAAAAGACGCGCCGACTTGTAATTACATCATCGAAGTTCCAGCCAACATCCGTAAAGCGCTTATATCGCAAGAGAGACTCTATATAAACTGGACGTCTTGCCCTGTCAGAGACTTCACGTTAGTAACGCGTTGCTATAAATGTCAGCAGTATGGCCACGCGGCAAAGACATGCCGGGAGCTCCACTCAGTGTGTGGCCATTGTGGAGAAACAGGACACATAACATCCGTGTGCACGAAGACAATCGACTTCCCAAAATGTACCACATGCTCTCGCTTTAACAAGCCCAACAGTCACAAGACAGGAGACGCAGAGTGCCCAGCCAGGAAGATAGCCGAACACAGATATATCAATTCCATCGATTATGAAGGCGCATAAAGAGAAAATGCTCGAAGTCGGAATTCCAATTCGATTAGTCATTTCGTTTAGTTTAGTTCACTTGTATAACAATTGCACATTAACAGGTTGGCTTACTCAGCAATTTATTGCTGTCCAAGCACATTTGATCTAACTGTAACAAGTGAGTGACCGTATGGACTTCGACCTAGTTTTTTTGTGTTTCTGCAGACGATCTAAAATAATTGATAGCCTTGTAATATGTAACATTATCTAGTTTATATATGAATATAGCTTATACGATATTTTATTTAATTTTATATATTTTTGTATTATGCAGGTTCAACATTTTATTCTCCTTCAGGGAATAAAAAGCGTGATGTTATTATATGTATGTATGTAATGTAGTATATTAAATAATCCTACCTTACTTCTGAAAATTATGTTAAATATTTTAAATATACTATAAATAAGTTGTCTTATCAGTAACATATTTTTAGAGCTCCTGTCGCCTGTGACACAGGAATATTCCTAGTATAGGCATATTATTTTTAAGATCTTGTCGCTTAATTAAGATATTTTTGTACCAGTGTTCTTTTTTTATTATTATTATTATTTTACTTGTATTTTAGGTTAAAACCTCACCCATTTCTGGGGAACTACACCAGAGTTGCGGACTTTTGGTCAAAGCAACTTTGGGGGTGATACTTGTGATGATCTAATCTAATCGATTGATAAGAATTTTCGGACTATTCTGCATGTGTTGAGTATAACTGCTTTCTGTAGAAGTGTGAATGTGAGGGGATGTAAATCGAGGGTCTTTAGACTTGTGTGTAGTGTTTTGGGAATGACGCCTGTGCTAGATATAATAATGGGAATGGTCTTAACAGTCTTATTATTTTTATTATTAATGATTTTTTTAAACGTTTCCACATTCTATGATTTTCTCGTGTGTCCTGGGTGTGTTTACAAACGTAGAAGTTCACATACATATAACACCCACACCAGGAACAACAACCTGTAGATCAAACTAAGAGTTGTTCCGGGCGGGAATCGAACCCCCGACACGTTGCTCGGCAGCCAGTTGCTCAAGCACCGCGCCAACCGTGCAGTCAATAAAATAAATAAGTATAAACAGAAATTACATACGTCTTAATTCTCCTTTATTGCTATGACATGTCATGTGCCGAAAATAGATTCGAAACCTGTACCTCAGGCAATAAAGAGCGCTTAACATAGAAAACTTAAGGTCTAAATTAACAATAATACATAATCATGTAATGATTAATCATCATAAAATTTTAACTAACTACATTTACGTGTTTGCAATTTTATTTACATACAGTCAGAAAATATTCGGTCTGGGACTACTTGTATCTCCTTTAGTACCGGCCGCGCCGATTGCTTACCATCAGGTTATCCATTTGCTCGTTTGATCCCATAATTTCGTTAACTATTCAGTCTTTATAATATTTAAGTAATTTAATAATTTAGGAAATAGATGAGTTACAAGATATACGACTGGAGTTACTGCACCGTCTCCAGTCGGATCAGAGAGCGAAGCAGACGAGCAGAAATAGCATGAAGCTGGCCAAGCTCTGGGCTTCCAAGAAGCAAGAGATGGAGCGGAAGATGACTCATATACGGAAGACCAGAGATCGAGGTACAGTATTTTTTTTTTATTGGGGGAAAATCATCGAATGACTTCTCCGGCCTGGGTGAGGCGGAAGAGTGTCAGACTCTTACTGACTAAAAACCACCCTGTTCCTTCTCCTGCACGTCGAGCCGGAACCCCGGTAACCCGTTAGGTTCTCCGCGACTTCGGCTCGAGGTACAGTATACCATTTTCACCAGGTGAAAGAACTACGAAATAGGAACTATTCGTTCTTTTAAACTGTCAAACACCAAGCGGTCACCGGTGACCGCAACCTATTGTTCTATAATTGTGTCTATGATGACGGTACTCGACGAGTAATAAATATATTATTATCCTTTAATGTATTTCGTTGCGGGATCTAAGACAGTTGTGCATGTCCCTGGGACGCACTGGATTTCAGTGTTGCGGTGTCTGCATGGTTGTATCTACTGTAGATCCTGGTGCACAGGACTTGCAGCGGTTTTGGGAGATTGTATAAAATTCGGTGAAAGAAAATAACAAGAGGACATCTGGGTTTTAAATTGTTAGTCTATAATCATCAATCCAGTTCGAGCAACGTGATGATGGTGAATGCTCATTCCTTATCCATCTGAGAAAAGTTCTTTGTCTGAACATCATAATATCATCACGCCTTTTATCCCCGAAGGGGTAGGCAGAGGAGCACATTACGGCACTTAATGCCACTGTACCATGTAACACATATTTTTCACTATTTATGTTACGAGTCCCCGTGTAAGCGTTCGTACGCAAAATTCCGATGTGACGTCGCATCGCAAAAGTGTACGAGCGCCCTCTACGCATCGCAAGAACTTGCGAATTGATTCGAATCGCGCATCATAATCTTATCTTCCCAAAATCATCTTTGTTTCGTTTTCCTGTATCTACTCAGCAATAACAGAAGTGCACACTTCTTTTTACGATCAACGACCTAGTTTTTAATTTAAAATACGTTTAGTACGGTTGACGGTCGTCGAAGGAATGGTCACCCTGGGAGACGCCTTGTCGCACGAAATCGCATCGCAGTAATTCGCATCGTAATTTTTTTCGTTACGAATTTGCATCGCATCGCATCGCAGTTTTGTGTACGAGCCCTAATAGGATGTAAGCCTATTGCCATATACCGAGCACATTCCGGACTCCGAGAGCCAAACTGCGATAATAAAATGCATTGTATTTTGGTACAAAAGGACTTTTGTATACTATACGATACTGTTTTGAAACTCAATACCTAGTTGGCCGTCCATTGGAGATGTTTTCAGTTCAAACATAAACATAATTATACTTCTATTTCTATGTCCATTTTTCACAGAACTCCGAAAACTAGTAGCCCTACACGAGGGTGGAGGTCGAGCAGGGCTGGTCGCTCGTCTAAGGTCGGCCCGCGGCGCTGGTTCAGTCACCTTTGCCTCTAGAGATCCGACATCAGATCTCCATGCTCCGCTGGCTAGGCACGGCTACCAGGCGCGCAGGAGACATGCGGAGATTCTCTATGACCCTGGATTATTGTGTAAATATCTTTTTTACTCTTGAGTAGAGTATATTTTTTACTACCGCTCTTCTTGTGGGAGTCATATATCTACCCGGACTAACGGATTATGTATTTGACAGAGACTGGTTAACAGTGCTCTCTGATGAACCTTTTGAGCTGCGGTCTTCAACTCCTTTGTCAAGCATGGAGATAATGACAAACCCCTTTTTAATATTTCAACGAAAAAGTAGACGGTTCACCTGATGGTAAGCAATTGGCGCCGCCCATGTACACCCGTCCATGGGCGGTGCCAACACTAGAGGAGTTACAACTGCGATAAACCTAGTTACCTTTAGCGACGGGGAGTCTAATCCTACCCCCGTCTCCAATCCCTAAATTTTCAATTTTATTTAATAATTAATTAATAGTTAATTAGGCCTCCGTTAACCTCACCCACACGACGACAAGAGTTGTTCCACGTCGATCTTCTGTGGTATCACTCAGGTCAAGTCGCGGCCCATTCGTGCCGAAGCATGGCTCTCCCACACATAAAATATTGGAGATTTACTTTGCTTTTCCCGCCAGCTCTGGAAGACCACAACGCGCTAGCAGAACCGCCACCATGGCTAGACTCTTGCGGCCAGGATCTCACCAAGTCCTGTTCCGGACACCTCCTTCCAAGGGATCCCACTGTCCTATGTGAACGGGAGACCAAGTGGAGCGAGCAATTCTTGGAGAACCTTCATAATGATCTGAAGAGTAAGTGCTTTGTATTCTGTAGACATTATCATCATCATCATCTGTTTAGGCGGTATATGTATGGGTCGGCAACCTGGCAAGTGACTTTTTCCGAGTTATATGTATGTATGTACTTTTTAAAGTTATCTAGACACCACTTGCGAACGGTGAAGGAAAACATCGTGAGGAAACCTGGGCTTATAATTTCTAAATATAAGTTTAAAATGCTAACCCGCATTGAGCAAACGTGGTGATTAATGCTCAAACCTTCTCCGTGTGAGAAGAGGCTTTGCTCAGAGTGAGTACCTACTGCTGAGCAAAGCCTTTATAAGTATAAAGGTAGTTGATGTGATGATGATGATGATGATGATGATGTGGGGCAAAAAACAGTAGCAAGGAAACTCCTGGTTGTTTCCACCAACCATCCCCATACCATCTCTTAACTAAGAGTTACTTAGTGTGAACGAGCACCTAAACTATCCCATACCCTATCTTAGAGTAGACATTTCTTAAAATTTGGGTTTTTTTTTTAAGGGGGAAAAATAATCGAATGTATAAAATTTGGGATAGGGTGATATCTCTTAAACAACCATCCCCTAACTTAAACTGTCAAACACCAAGCGGTCACCGGTGACCGCAACCTATTGTTCTTTAATTGTGTCTATAATGACGGTGCTCGACGAGTTAAAACTAATGTCTCACTGCAGAAACTCGTCTCGGAGCCGCAAAGATGACAGCAGGTCCGCTCCACGTGTTGAAGTCACGCAAGGAGTGCTTCGTCGCCAGGCCCAGGACGCCTGAGGTGGAATCCCTAGACGACTTCGAGGAATCAGCGCATCAGGCCGCGCTGGTGCTGCAGAGGATCATCAGGGGTAGAGCTGTACAGAATTTGGTGAGGAGATGTAGATTTTAGGGGTTAATAACAACAAACAAAACAAAGCCATTAAATCTCTATTTAACTATGACTATCTTACTAATACACGTCAATTATACACTGAAACAAAAATATTTAACTTGCAACAGACCTACACTTACAATGCGTGCTTGCACCTAGCTTCACCTAGCTTCACTGACGGACTGACTGACAGACTATTATTTATTTTGTATTTGTTGACGTTTCAAAAGTACCAAACTATGGTTTAATTGAAATAAATGCTTTGACTTTGACTTTGACTTTGCTGGTGAGAAAAATACTAACGGGTCAAATACAATCTGAGGTCAAGTTTACTTTGAGATCATTTTATCATTCCTTGAGAAATGCAAACAAGATTAAACTACAAAGGCACAAAACAAATTACGGTAAAAAAATGTATAACATATGAGGGAGCACAATTGTATAATAATTTGCCAAATAATATTAAGGAATTGTATTAGTTTGTTTTATTGTTAATTATTGTTATTTCTATCGGTTTCTTCGGTATTATTACATTTTTTTTTAATTGATATTTATCTTGTTTGTGTAACACACTATGTGTCTCGGTGTTATTATATCTTTTCCTGACACAGGCCCACAGGAAGAGATTCCAGTTGGAATATGTGGGGCCTATGTACTCTGTTTTTATATATGTGTTGTCCTCTGTGTTGAATGTGTGTATATAAATAAATAAATAAGGAATGTCAGTCGACCGCCATGCTCAAAAATAGGTTAAGAAATTGTGTATCTGAAAATATGTATTAATACCGTTGGTCAGAACTCTGTATACCTAGCTATAATTAGTCATTTAAGCTCATTGTAAGTAAACCATGTTCTTTATGAGTGAATAAAGGCTACTCGGCTCTGCGGCGATGCAGCCCGTGCGCGCTCTCTGCCGTGATTCACGCGCATGCACCTCTGTTTGTGATATCCGTGACGGCTGCGCGCGACATATTATTGGCACGTTAGACTCGTTGGCGGCTGCATTGGTATTCGATTCGAATCCCGGGTCGACACAAAAACCGGAAACCAATAATATTGAAGAATATTCCAATCCAAGTCGATAATAACGAAATGGAAAACCCTTAGCTTTTAGTTATTAACAATGAGTCACATATTTTACAAGGAATTTTGTCAATAATATTTTTAGTCAAATTTTGCTCTTCCTAGATGGCGCTAAAGTTAATTAAAGGACACCCACCAACTAATATTTATATACTACCTCTTTTCTCCCAGATGTACGAAGGTCGCACGCGTGCTGCGGAGTTGACTGAAGAGTTGAAGACCACGCATGGTCTCCAGAAGGAAGATAAAGTCAGGATAGCGAATGAAGAGTCGAAGGCCAGGGAATTCAATGCTAGGAGGACGGAGACTGAACTTAGGGTATGTTTTATGTTTTATTTTGCGCATAAAGCGGTCATAAGTTACCGTCGCTGATATCTTGTAGCTGATTATTTCTAGTCGATTCCCTCACTGCTGAGGAACATGACTCACTATTTTGCTCACTAGATGTCGCCAACGCCATTTATAACGTTCCGTTGCTTGGTGCATTCCAACAATCATTCATAGGTATGTCCTGCTATTGGATATTTGGTCAGATCACCGCATGGGACTCCGGCCTCTCGGTCACTTTCCTTCTACTTTACCAGTCACTATGAGGCGTTCCAGACTGCCAGCATCTCTGCGAGCAATATGACCAAAGTATCGCACAATCTTTTGCAAGCAAACTGTGGACAAGCGTTGAGTTTTGTCCATTTTTAGCTCTTACAGAATAGAAACGTTTGCACGGTAAGCTGTCCACGGTATCCTCCGCATCCTGCATCCTTGAAAAGTCACTGTTCTGTTCTTGTAGCTGATATGATGATGATATTGTCTTGGTCTCCTTCAACAGGAGGACACCATATCAGCTCTAGTGGACGAGCTATGCGGTGGAGCAGTGTCTGCTGCGCTTGATTTCTTGGAGAAAGAGCTTCGAAGGCTCAAGGAGGAGAGGAGACAACATGCCTTCCTGATGATTGCTTGTAAGTAATTTTTTTATGGTATAGGTCGGTCGGTTAACGAGCAGACGGTGACCCGGTGATCCGGTGATCCGGTGTTCCTGATGGTCCATCAGGCGATTCTGATAATAAGCAATTGAGTAGTTCTCTAGGTCAAAAATAAATTATTTTGATTATGCAGTCCAATTAAACATTGAAAATTAGTTACAATTTCACTCATTGATTTGCCGATATACTTAATTTTCGATTTATTCTAACATTTATATTTGAAGGGGAAATATGATGACGTCATAAGATGGTATTTCGTACTAAAATTAATCGAACAGTATCGTTTCGGTAAAAGTATTGAATATGATTAGTTGTCGTTGTCGACTATCGTATTGTGTACTTGCCAACTAGTCAAATTCAATACTTTTTTCGAACTGTCTAAAACGACAGTTTTCTATGAATTTTGTACGAGATTGTGTATTGTGACGTCACGTTTTTTAGCGTCAAACAGCGTACATATTTCTTACCAATTTGCTGGAGAAGGAAGGAATACTAAAATCAATTAGGTAATGAAAGTGTGATTATTTTTTAATATTTTATTGTATTTTGTATTTATTGAAATAATTATTTCGACTGTTCAATTACCCAATTGGGTAAATCATTAATTCTTTTCTTAATCAAAAATAAATTATACATGACGCAAAAGCACACACCCTAATGTGCTGTCAAAAAGTCCATTGGTCTGTCGATAGTACGTGAAAAGACGATGCGAGAAGCGGCTGAAGCTGGTAGAAGACAGAGGGAAGAGCAACGTAGAAGGGAACATGATGAAATGTTTAAACAGGTAACGTATTCTGTACTATCTATGTGATAGGTTTTTTTTTAATATCTAAAGCTGAAGAGCTTTTTATTTGTTTATACGCGCTAATCTCCGAAATTCCTGGTTCGAATTTAATAACTCTTTTTGTATTGTATAGTGCATTTATCCAGGAAGACCACAGGCTATAAAACATCATCATCATCATCAACAGCCTATAAATGCCCACTGCTGAGCAAAGCCTCTTCTCACACGGAGAAGGTTTGAGCATCTATTACCACGCTTGCTCAAGGCGGGTTTGTGATTACAAACTTATAATTAGAAATTACTATGTATGTAAGCCTAGGTTTCCTCACGAAGTTTCCCTTCACCGTTATAAAACATCACGCTAAGATTAATAGGATTCGAGCAGCGGGTGACAGAGATAATTTAATCATTTTTTTTCCTTTACAGATCCTAGGAGTGACCCAAGGCACAGTGGAGGCCTACCTCCAAGAGATTATAGATGAGGGCGTAGAACTGGCCGCTGAGGAGGACGCCAGCGAGAGGGCGAAGGACCAAGCCACGAAATATCATGATACGCTCATTGACAATTCTGACTTGTAAGTCATTCGCCCGAATACTGAAAGGCACAATTTGAAATTGTACTTAAATATCGTGCCATCACTGTCATTTACAAAGAATTTGTAGAAACAGAACTATACTTGGCGCCACTCAAAATTGAGCGGCATTTGAGTATTCGGACAATAATAAAATATTATTAGGTGCTTAAAAATGTAATGTAATGTACTGTTTTCGAATCCTACCAATACAAAATCCTACCAATACAACGGTAAGCCTACCAATGTGACTATGTATTTGCGATTTATTTGTACTTTCTAAGATTTATTATAAGTTCAGACTAAAGGCTTCTTCTCACACGGAGAAAGAAGGTTTGAGCATTAATCGCCACGCTTGCACAAGGCGCTTGCTCAAACTTATAAGGTTTCCTCACGACGTTTCCTTCACCGTTTGTCAGTGGCGTCTAAATAATCTTAGAAAGTACATATAACTCGGAAAAGTCACATTGGTACTTGCCGTTGGTAAGTTTCGAGCCCGCACCCTCATGCAAGAGAAGCGGGCGTGATAAACCTCCCGGCCACCACGACATTGTGAAGGATGCATGCATTCGTCGAATGACGTAACGTGGACAGTACCTAGTCCATATTTAACATTACGTAATTAAATGTCTATATTTTCTCCAATATCCACCAACACTGTACAAATACAAACTCTCCTATCCCCAGAACAACAGCCACTACCAATGAAATGGTAGCCGAGCTGGTCCAGCAGTTCCTTCTACCACACGCCACTAAGACAGCGACCAGACATCGCATCAATATGCTGCAGAATTCCAGCTTGGAGACTGCCAGGAGCACCATCTTTGGACTAATCAATAATGCCGAGGCTAAGAGAGGTAAGGTTAGGAGTGGATGGGGCAGGATTGGATTGGATGAAACAGGAATGCATGGGTTTGGATTAGATGAGAATGAATTGTATTGGATGGGAGAGGATTTTCTGAGGATTTTTATTAGGGGGACAGTGAAAGGAGGTGACCAGAGAGCAGGACTTGGTGAGATCCTAGCCGCAGGAGTCAAGCCATGGTGGCGGTTTTGCTAAAACATTGTTGTCTTCCAGAGCTGACGGGAGAAGGAAAAGTATAAGAAAAACTTAGACTTGTTTTTTGTGAGGTGGGAAAATCATACAATGACTTCTCTCGCCCGGGTGAGAGGGAGTGTCAGACTCTTGATGACTATAAACCACCCCGTTCCTACTCCTGCACTTTGAACCGGAGCCCTGGCAATCATTTACGTTCTCTGCTGTTCGGTATCCGCATCAGCCCTATTGGGCCCTATCTGTGGTGATCTGATCATTTTCTGGAGATAGGACGGGACTAGAAAGAAAGAAAGATTGTTTACTTGTAAAACATGCGTATACATAAACCGAGTAATCAGACATGCAAGATGTTAAATAGTATGTTGTGCGAACATGATGAGATATGATTGTAATTTACCAATAATTTCTACTGCTTGTGTTATTAGTTATTAAGCTAAAATTCACGCACAATGTACCTAAATTGTTTTTGGAATAAATAAAAAAATATGGGACGGGACGGGATATTACTGACCAGGTCAAGTTGCTACAATTTTTTTTTAAGGGTGAAATCATCGAATGACTGCTCCCGCCTGGGTGAGGCGGGAGGGAGTGTCAGACTCTTACTGACTAAAAACCACCCCGTTCCTTATCCTGCACGTCGAGTCGGAGCCCCGGTTACCCGTTAGGTTCTCCGCGACTGCTACCAAGACTAGACCGACCCGACATTGCATTAATGTTTCTGAATTCAAACTTAGAGATTAATACTCAATTTAAGATAGCTAATACAGATTAAGACGCTAAGAAATGTAAAAATGTTTGGGGATAGGATTTTTTTTTTATGGAATAGGACGCAAACGAGCAGCCGGATCACCTGATGGTAAGCGATCAGCGCTGGCCATGGACACCCGCAACACTAGAGGTGCCACCAAGACAAGACTAGGTGGGATAAGATTAGTATAGGATTGTATTGATTGGGAGGGGACGAGATTAGAGATTAGGTCTGCATCACCCAAAGTTCAGACTGGGAGAAAATGCCTGCAGCATTAAGTCTACCTTATGTACACTTTGTGCATGAAGCTTAAATAAATAAATAAATTAGATATGTATGTGGGTCGGGTTGAGACGGGATGAGACGAGACGAAACAGGACAGGACGACATGGAATGGAAGATTTGAAAAGATCAACGACACAAAAGAAAGTAATAAAAGTAATTTGTACTTAAAGCTATCTGATCCGGCAAACTTCATACTGCCTAAATTTTTTTTTAAACCTTCCACGTACATTCCAAGATCAAAATCAGCCAAGGGTGATTCTTTGAAACACAGTTTTGACGTGTTTTTGACCGAAGAACACATCAAAAGAACTTTCGATTTGAATGATAGTTTCAGGTTTTATGTAAAGGGTAAATGTCTATCGAGGCCTGCTGTAGCTAATTAGGATTTATTAAAAAAAACTATAATTAAGTTTGCAGAAAACAGTAAAACCTAATTAGTTTGGCATGTCCCAACGACGGTTTTTATTACATTATTTAACCGTCTGTAAAATGTGGTCGCGTTACACTAAAACTAATGAATTCCAGCGATATTTAAATATGTGTTTCTTAATATTTTAATATTTAAATACAAAAAAAATGCATATTTTCATAATTACATAATTTTAAAAATTGTCCCCGACTAAATTCATCATTAAGCTGGCTCGATTCGTTTAA